TAATATATTATATTAAAAAAATAATCCTATGTGCCAGGAAGAAACCATATGCTAGGGAAACAATGGCCTTTAGAGCTGGACTGTGAAAGTCAACTTTCAAATTCATGATATTTGCACCTGGAGATTTAACTCATTTTTAAGAGAGCGTACAGCAAAAAATCTGACTTTCAACTCTCCCTTGGAAACAATGATTCAAGCACTAGCAAAGTACTCAGGAATACCACAGAAAGTAATGAGAGCTATTAAATTTTTATCTTCCTCACTGTTTTCCGGAAACTACATCTAAAAACTGTGAGTTGCAAACATTCTTAAAGCCACAAAACTCAGCAAAAAAACACAACACTGTCACCAAATAAATACAAAAAAGTATTGCCTGGAGAATAACCTGTGACTCAGCATCTTGTGCAAAGACTAAACCGAACAGATTTTGCCCACTTGTTGCAGAAACCCCAGTCTAACATATACTTTCCTTTTTGACACTTTTGAGGTTTTGACACAAGCAAGGTCAAAGCATGCTGTGAAACTGCAAGCAGCCTATTTACTGTTTGTCATAACAGTATTTCACCTGACGTAAGTACCACTAATTTAAAGTCACATATTTGCCATTTACTATATAGCTCCATGAAACATAAAATTTAAAATGCAGAACCTATAAACCAAAACAACAGGAAAAGGAAAAAGAGTAACACACTGAAAAGCCCACAGGACAGAATAATTTCCAGTTTTAATAAAACAGGGCACACTATTTGTCACTAACAAGAATATTGTTTTCTTATGGGAACAGACATTTTTTTTTTACTGTGAGGAAGCAGATTAAAAGGCTCAGTACAGCTCTGAACATCTGCAGGTATTTATTTTAGGCAAACTGCGTCTGCTAATGGATATTAATGGAAACTCTGAACCAAAATTATATTCCATGGTTAACCCATTGACTTTGAAGCTGATGTTATGCAGATGAACTTCACAGGGATTTTTCTTTCATATTACAATCCAGTTAAACAGCCCACCGACGTATCTATGAAGCAGTCAGAAAACTAAACATACTACATATTGTACTATATGGTACAATATGGTTTGGTTTCTAGTAGTTTGTTTTGGGTTTTTTTTTCAGTTACCAATTTAATTATTAAATAAATAATATTAAAATAGTA